AATAACTTTATTCTTATTATTAATATTACATGCATATGTTTAATTAAAAAGTTAATAAAATTAAAATTATTTTTTAATTTTTTAATATAAATTAATTATAAAAAATGTAAACCGTGCCTGTGCATGTGCCCTAAGAGCACAACATAAGAATTCCCAACATTTTAGCTTCAATTTGCATTCCATTTCAAGATGGTTCATAATTAATGGCGCATCCCACGTGCCGTGTCAGTGGCCACTTGCTGCTTCAAAAGGCAGCCCGTGATTTGCACTCTAATATTTCGGATTCAATACTCCCACTAACACCTCTAACATACTAATATCTAATTATTGTCCTTATAAATTAATAATAATAATAATAATAATTAATGGCGCCTTGGGATCATCGAGCTTGGCACGCTTCATGTTTAATGTTTCTATCAAATGCATTTCTAGGTTCCATGCTCCATTAATAACTAGCTAGTAATGTCTTCTCTTTTCTTTTTCTTTTATTTTTTTTATTTTTTTTTGAACATGGTAAACTTTTGAAAAATGAGAGATTTTTTTAAGTCGTTTATGAAAGTCAAACTCTTAATTAACTAAATTCAAGCATTAAAACTCATGATAAACCATTGGACTCAAAATCCCAATTCAGCTAGTAATGTCATTTATTAGTCTTTAGCCTATAAAGATTATAGGGGGTTAGTAGGAGTTTATATAGTTCTTTCAATATTTGAATTGTGTATCTCAAGAGGTGATTCTCGTGGTAGAAGATGAATTTCTTGTAAGTTGTCTCAAACTCTACATGGCTAAGATAGGTGTGTCTTTAATTCTTAAAGTGATGTGTTTTAATCTGTCGACTTTATATCAACCAAGAAAGGTGTAACCAGGTTACTTGATGAAGTTATCTGTCATTTGACATTTATACGAAAAAGCGAGAAGAGAAGCTACTTCTTTGCCTTTGTGTCAACTTATGAAGTTGAATTCCAGTGTTTGGTTTTAGCTCTTCCTATCCTTCTCTCTCTCATCACCCTTGTACTCATGGTCAATAAAATTTTTGTTTTCAGTAAAAAAAATATAATAATAACTTTTACATGTACTCCAAAATAACAGATGAAGTGAATTTGTTAAGCAATAATGAGTTTGTCTAACCTATGTTGTTAAGGTACAAGTTAAGAAAATACTAATTATATTTTTTATAATTAATTTATATAAAAAATAAAAATTAACTTTAAATTTATCAATTACCTAATTAAAATTATTCAAATGATATTGGTATTAAAAATAATATCTTACTCCTATACTTTTTTTATAAAAATTTATCATAAAATAATACATTTAATACACTTTAAAAGGTACAAATTAAATAAATCCATTCTCTTATTCTCCTCTCACTCATTTCAAAATTTAAATTTAATATCTCTAATATAAATATTCAAAATTTTAACTACTGAATGCTTCCCTAAGCAACAGCTACCTTTGATACATACGCTATCAAATATCCTTCCTATTGCAGCGAGGGAAATGGGGACCAGCAGTCCGTAGCAGGGTAACAAGCTGCTTGCTGTGTATGTTCCGCGATATTTCTGTGCTAACAGGTGACAACTCACATAGATGAATATCTTGCAATAAGACTCTTGTTTGCTTTCGTTTCTAGTGGGCACTTCAGTTTCATTCACACGTCAACAGATAATGACCCATATAATTTTCTCAATCAAAATTAATTTTGAAACCTAACGAGGTACACATAGTATTAGTAACTTCTCGATTATCATGAGTTGTCCTCCGGTAGGGCCGATTAACGGGTCAATTTAAGTCGTGACTGGTTATGGAGCTAATTAAATTCAAGACTAAAATTATTAACCACTTAAGTAACTTAATAATAATTTTTTTAAATAAAATTAAAAATTTAAACTTTTGAGTTATAGGTATGTTGGGTTGATATTGACGAAAGGATAAAAGAAATTGGGACTAAGATAAATAACAATATTGGGCTTGGGAGTTGACACAATAACATGTCAAGTATGAACTGATCGACGTGTGAATAACCAGAGAACTGATCTAGTGAAAGGCAAATTAAAATTTATTTTTTCACAAAAAAATTAAAATTTTTTTTTCTTTTTTGGTAATTGAGAATGATATCATTAAAAAAGAAACAGAACAAAATACACTAGGTGTTTTTGGAAAAATCGTATTCCATAATACCCAAAATACATAGAAATTTGGCATTAACAGGACAATGAGGAAGAACAACAAAATCCTGCTGCAGTGAATGTCTCATTTTAGCAAGTTGATCCGCAGCCATATTAGATTGGCGCTTGATACGAAACATCTGAACAATTTTTTAAATTTAAATTTAATATTCATCATATTTACTTTACATTTTAAATTCATATTGCAAAAAACATCTAAAAAGTGGTTAAGGGATAGCTGGACCAGATCAGCTTCCAATTTATGTAAGCCAATTACAGGCGTTGGTCTCGGGAATCCGGGTGTAGTTGTTGTTACTCAATTTATTTATTAAGAT